CTACAACATTTACAGCGTGACTTGCATCTGATTATGACTCCTGGGGGTTAAAGGAACTCCAAATCTCCAAAAGTTGTGATAAGTCCAAAATTTCTTCAACAGCTTCTTACAGTGTGAAAGACTCTTTACAACTGAGTAAACATGCTTTAGTGCTAATGCATGCCTTCTGGCGTAAAGGAAACATAACTGAATAGAGCTTCGTATGCCTAGCTAAAAAGCGGATATATGTTGATTGTGCAATAAAATAAAACAATGCTACAATTAAGGGAAAAAACAGTCCTTGAATGTAAATAAATGTCATTGTTCACGGACAATGTGACACTCCTTGTCTAAGGATCCTTGACCTTTTCTCCCGTTAATATATCTTCTTCTCTAACCAGGGGCAGAGTCTGCATCTAGGGAAACTACTCATGGTTCTCTACTTGTGCAGTTACTGGAAGGACAAGCTCCTCAACTGGCCGCAGAAATGATTTCTTTGTACCACCTCTCACTATTTCCACTTGGGCCTTTCTTACTCAACCATTTGTCTTGTAGAGTAAGTAAAGCAGTTTTGTACAATTCAAATAGTCTACCACCATCACCCTCTTTAACTGCATCTTTAAATTCAAGCAATTCAAGCAGGCCTTAAAAGCGTGGATAGAGTGTAGGGAAAGAAGTGTTATAGATGTGTTGCTATTATCCACTGCCAAAAAAATGACATCTTAAACTTAAATTATATCACATTGTTCTTTTAAATTTGATTCGCAAGTCAGCCTAAAACCAACAGAAACTGTGAAGTAAGATAAAAGTAAACACCCATTAACATGTTCATTCACAATCCAAATGTTGACGTTTCATCTGTCAAATGTATCACAAAAACGAGACAGAACCGTTAAATTTGAAACGTAAATAAACGCGAAAAATTATTTACGCTTCAAGGTGCTCGCAAATGGTAGAAATGGGATATATAAATGAATTTACTTACGTATTTTGTTGCAATGTGGTATTTAAAGCTGCCTTTATTTTAATATACGTTGCCACAGCAAATAAGAGATGGCTTACAACAACATACTGTTAATACACAACGTAGGCTCTACGCTTTCACTCAATCCCTGGAGAATTAAAAGACAACAAGCAATAATAATGATCTTGTCATTAACATAGCTCCTTGTTTACCTTTTCGGTTTTTGGAAGCATTCGGGGGAGTGGGATGGTCAGAAAATTTCTCATTTTTTTATACGTGCTGATACTTTCATGCTACTTTTCTTCACGTATTAAAAGCGAGCCAAAAGTAAGTTTTCAACCCTTGGTAGTTAAGGGGAGGGGAGGGGGTGTTGTGTAACGACATAGTATGATGTCCAAAATCAAAATGAATCACACCTTTTTGTTGTAGCCTTTCTCTTGAACACCGGCCCAAACTGATCCTACAATAGACCACATCTTTGTTGAAGATAATTTGCCAAGAATCACTACATTAATTTGCTGTTTCTATTTGACAAGAGTGACATCGCTTTAGAAAAGCACACTATTACAAATTTGATATCAAACGTTAAATACATGTACACGGTAATATCTCATTCACTTGATCAACAAAGTTTACTGCACTAACAGTTATTAAATTTATTAAATCTTCATAGAAGTTTTCTTGTAGGTTTCATATTGCTTTGCAATACTACTACTACTACTAATAATAAAGCCTTTATTTAAAGAGGGTAGCACTTAATAGCCAAAGGCTAATAAACTTGTGGCCCTCATAAAATAAAACAACTATTTACAATCTAATAAATATAGTAAGCTAAAATATGTAAACAATTAAAATAAAACAGGATTCGAATTTTATAAAAATAAAAAATTAGTAAATGATAAAATGATGCAAACATTGTTGTTCCTTAAAAATCTTGGCAAACATGTTCTTTTTAAAACATGCTACAGAACCTAGTTTCCTAATTTCAATTGGTGTACTATTCCACAGTCTTGTTGCCGAAACAGCGAATACTGTCTTCATTGCTTAGAACAAAGTTAGTGCCAACCATTTCAAGGCTAGGACTAGAGGAAAATATGAAAATGGCACTAAGTCGAAGTTCAAATAAACAAACCCACAGGCTTTATTTTCATTTTATATGTAAGTTCAACTTTCAAGTCATTATAACTGGAAACTTAATTTATTGCTTCTAACCTGTAGTAGACATTGCTTGCATGCATGTGTAAACTTATGCGATTTCTTCTCTTATTTTATATAACATTCCTCTTGACTAGTCTACCATAACCTTGTGGCGCCAGAACAGACAATTTTCAGAGTATTCCAGTGACGATTTGCCACCAAGAGTACAGTTATTTCTGCAGGAAACAAATTCAGGAATAAATAAATGGCATATCTGCAGGGTTTGAGCCAGGCCGCGCCATTGCGCCAATCCCGCACTGCAATTGGAATTGTCCCTTTAAAAAACGGCCAAGGGGACAATTTGTCCCCTTCAAAATTTAGGGAAAAAACTCGAAAGGAAGCACACGCGAAGAGATTTGTTTCAGTACAGAAATTGCAATCTGAAACAGAACGTGGAAAGTATATTTTATCGCACCTATAAAGTTCATTCCAAAGTTACGTTTCAGTCACGCTCTACTGCTATTTTTGTCGGAAATCTAAGACAGGGCTTCTGATTCTTCGCGCGGTCGCGGAGCCGCGAAGTTCACAAAAACACGAAAAATACCGCGAAATTCGGTAGAAATCTTATCAAATACATGTCTGTACAACATATTTGAAACTTATTTCAGCTATAGGGGCTATTTACTTGCCGTAAACTTGCAAATTTATCTCGGAACTTCGTCACTGAAACGTGCAAACAGATTATGTTGCGAAAAACTGGGCACTACCCATGATGTTAAAGGCTTTGCCATTGGTTCATTTCTGGAGCGTATTGTTGTTGAAAGAGCAAATGATGACCTCTGTTAGAAAAACGTTAAAAAGGCTGGTCTGATCAGGGCAAAACCGATCGATTTCTTGCTTAATTTGCCTTGAAAATAACCACAAAATCGGCCGTTTTTTACCGATTGCATTTCGGTGAAGTTTGCCCCGAAAACTCCCGCGAAGTCGGCCGATTTTTCCGCGAATTTGTCCCTAAAAATCCCGCAAAATTTGACTTTTTCTTCCGAGACCTATCAGAAGCCCTGCTAACAAGACAAACCCCTTTGCATCAGCAGAAGGGTGTACAAATTTCTGTCCCCCAAAATTTTAGCCAAGGGGACAAATTGTCCCCCAGTGATCGAATCCTAGCTCAAACCCTGTATCTGTGCATTCCTCTCAAATGTTAATATTTTTCTCAGAAGTTTATGCTTAATTACGCAAAGTTACTAGAAAACATACCTTTTTTCAATAATCCAGCTGAGTTAACTTACTTGGAAACATGCTTTATGTGAACACAAATTCGCAGTTGATTACTTTGTCTTGAAAATAACATGGATAATAGAAAGACAGTCTTACGAAAATACTCTGTTGCTTGCTCCGATGCCACTGCTGCAGAGTTGATTTGCAGCTCCATTTTGGGTGCATGTTGTATTCGTTTTCAAGTCCAGTCACACTTTTACACTCATACAATGAAAACTTGCATAATTTCAACAACACAACCAAAATGTGGTTGCAAGACCCGAGCTGGCCAGTAACACAAGAGCAAGAGGCATTCATGACCTCTCCACTAACAAGACAATGCAACCCTTAAGTTGTGGGGAGGATCTTTTTTTTTGTAAAGCTGTGATGGTACAGACAGTGAAAGTAAAAATAAGTGTTATCACTTGCTGCTGACAAGTTCTTTAAATATTCCTTGTTCAAAACGTTGTAGCTCTTCACACACTAGGTGGTACTGAGTGACTTTTTGACTTTTGAATCAATGTTTTTTCCTAACTTTGTGATATGAGAGTTCGTGTTAGCACGTGTGAAAAAGGGCATTCATTGTATATCACCAGACCAGGCATCCGAAGGGTAGTTTGGTTTCGGTGTATCAACGGCAGCTGAACTATTGTTTTCACTCCCCATTTGGTGTTCTTTACACTTTGTATAAGCATTGTGAGGATCAGGATCAACTATATTTTGGTCTCGGCCAGGAGAAAGCAGCATAAAGCAATAATGATGTTTAAATCTCTTAATGAACAAGCTCCAGTGTACTTATTTCACGACCGTAGCACAGACTATGATTTGCGCAATTCCTTTCATAAATTGACATTGCCCAGGCCGCGTACTAACTTCTTGAAACAAAGTTTTAGTTACAGCAGTGCTTTGTTGTGGAATTCTTTACCCGAAAATGTGAGAGAAATTAAATCAATCAGGAAATAAAGGGTCTACCTATCTACCTCCCTACTCTATGGAAACCTCCTTATACAAACAACTGATGCTATCTTAAAGTGGGATTGATGAGAAGAAAATTACCACTTGTTTTACTTGATGCCAGCAAAGCTTTCTATACAATAAATCGTGGAATTTTGCTCAATAATCTGCTGGATATTGGAATCTCTCCATCAAGTGTTGCTTGGCTTACGAGCTATGTCTTCGACAGATGACAAGTTGTGTGCATAAATTCTAAGTTGTGTGATCCTCTACCCGTTGTATCCAGACGTGCCACAAGAAAGCATTCTTGGACCCATTTTGTTTAGTATTTATGTAAATCATTTACCACATGCCTCCCCCGTTCCTGTCTTACCGAAGGTTCACTGATGACACAAAACTTTACATTTCTTTCCCAGCCCTTTTAGGAAAAGAACTAATACCAGCGCATGTTGTTAAAACAGTTTCTTCCTGCTTTTCAAGTTTAGCTCAAATTAATCGTGTTAAGTACGTGTTTGAAAGATTGACTTTAACCACAATAATTAACCCTTAAGTGTTCTACAAGTTATTTTATTGCTCTTCCGTCTGGTCCAATGCAGCGGACACTAACCTGCTCAAGCTCCAAGTGGTCCAGAACTTTGCGGCCCAGATCATCTGTGTTTCCAGAAAATTTGACCATGTACTATGCTTCTGAAAGAACTACACTGGCTACTTATTGAGCCTCTCCATGGCCCTTTCCCTCATCTCTTTGCCTGTTGCTTTTTCCCGAGCCCCTCTTGGCCTCTCTCTTCCTGGCCTTGGAATCCCTTTCCAGGATTTTCAAGCGGTCCTTCAAACCCTTTTCCAAACCGCAAAATTGGGGTTCTTTGATGTTATTCAGAATTTTGAATATTTCATCTAAACAGTTTTCCCCCTCTCTTCTGCCTGAACAGTACTTCCATAGCACGCAGCTTAGGAGTTCCTGCCAAATATGGTGTCCTGTTTAACTGACCACTTCATTTTCAGTGTTCTCTGAAAAGATTATAAATATGTAAATATACTTTGCTAAATAATTATATCAGTAACTTACTAAACTAACTGTTAACCTTTTCTGCCGTAGCTATTTATCTATGAGATCATACTGGCTGGTTGTTGGTCTCACAAGCTTAAGAGAAATAACATGACAAAACATGTTAATGTGTACTATCGTATGCAACAAAACCATTTCCAAAACAACTGATTTGCGGAACCAAATCTCCTTCCCCCAGGTCAAAGCTGCTTCCTACAGTTACCAAGGATCAGGGTTGCTTTAGAACACACAAGAAAATTGCTTCCAAGGGGAGGGGGGAAGGAAATAATCCGTACAGCTAGAATGTTAGAAAAATGTTCTCCAAATGTGCAATTTGTGGAAAATGTTTCTCTGAGCTAATACTGGGCAAAACTTCCAGTGGTACATAAACGTTGTTTGTAAAAGTCGGCTAACTTTTTATGACGATTCCATGCATAGAATAATATCACAATTAACTCAACATTGCAACAGTTAATATGACTTCATTGAAGTTAGTGAGTGACCTTCTGGTAAACGACCTTGTGTAAACAACCTTGTCATTTGTTGTTAATCGTTGTCAAAGTTCATAGCCCCTTCAAATGTCCTGTTAATCATTCCCAATCATAGATCTTGTGAATCGGAAGAGTTTAGGAGACCACTGTGGCCACGTTTATTATCTCTTGGTTTACATATGGTGAATTTATGTCCTAAACTCTTTCCAGTCAAATGTATGTATGGACCCTGTGGAAAGTAGTTACAGTCTTGCACGTCACGCGTTGGTGCCTTTTGACACGTTCCGCGGGACACTTCTAGTGTTCATAGTTGTAGCTTTTGCACTGAACATCGCTACAATCTCTAAAGTAAACATTACAATTGCAAAGTAAAAATGTGAGTTTAGTTAATATTTGATCCTATCTCCATTGGATTCTTTTATTAACTGCAAGCACTTATTCATAGACTCGATTGTTTTATCTATTTCAGCAATGGAAAAATTGTTTTGAAGTTGTTGTCACACGTTTTGAAAATTCACCGAATGTTTCATGTGTTGTATTTTTTTTGCAGTGCTTGCTGCCTTAGCTCCTCTCTCATGGAATGTGATGAGTTTTCAATGGTATTGATGTGCGGACTGCGGGGAAAAATTCTCAGTTGCTTTGCTTTCAAGGTGTTTAGAGCCTGGCGTACACTCGCACAATTTTGCACGGGGTCATTATCCTGTCCAAACAGGCATCTACCTTTTTTCCTCTTTTTATGAAACAACTTGCTATCTTTGTTTGCTTCAACTTATAGATTGTAGCTGCTGAAACTCCAGCTTTCTTGCTAAAATCCTTTATGGAGACACTCTTATCATGTGTTAAATATCCAATGTATATCTGCTCCTCCACACTTCAAGCACCTCTAAAAACCATGTTCAGGAAGAAACTTCAAAAATGTTAATGATTGATTACTTGAAATGAAACAAAAGACTCTTCTTGTCATTAACGTCTGTGTAGTCACTAATTGTTCATTAATTATCGCAGTTACTAAAAAATGTACTCTATATAAAGGACAGGTTCATATTGGCACACTAAACGAAACCTCATTCCCAGGATTCTATCCTACCCGTCCTTATGGAGTGATAGAGAGAGAGTCCCTGGTTGGGTCTGGTCACATGACTCCGGAACAAAATTAATTCTGAGGGCGGGCGGCCTTTGTCTCTCAATTTTTTTGTCGCAACAGTCCAAGATAGAGCAAGATAGATTTGCTAACCCTACAACTATAACTGAAACCATGGGAAATTTCTGCCTAGACAGGAATGCCACTAAATAACCAAGTTTAAATTATTTTTTGCCTGACAGCGGCTGCTGGCAATCGGGCCAAATCAGTATACTGCAAAACCTACACCATTAGCGGTCTTTGCACCTTAGGGAGTAGGGGATTCATATTTGCTGAACCGGCAAAATAATAATTTAGATCTAGTGACTTTATGGAAAGCTACAGTCTAATGAAATGTCAGCTTTCTCCACCCCCTAATTAACCTTTGTTATGATGAGCAATATAAAACTTTATCACTTTTAGTGGTAGATAGTGATATATAGTGTTTACAAACAAATGCAAAGGATAAGCACAAACCGACGGATGACAACAGGAAATCATGCAGTAAAAACAGACAAGATGGACAACATAACCTTTCCAGCGAAAGGTTTTC